CATGTCACCGAACACGAGCCAGTCCCCACGCGAATCTCCGGCAGTCGGTACCACGTCACCACCATGCCGAGTGAGTCACACGTCGGTCTGAACACAGTCGATGTGTACGTCTCCTCGCCAGCGTGTGGGGTGGCGAGTTGCCTCGGGCAGGGCACATAGTCGTCCATGAGGACGCAGTTGAGGGAGCCGTAGAGTCCGTCGTCGATCCAGTACTCCTGCACCTCGCCGCCCGTGTGCCGCGAGTGCGAAGGCCATCTCCGCGGAGTACCACCCCGGCTCACCGATCACCTCCACGCACAGGAGACGTCGCGGATGGCCGTGGCGGCCTCGTCGAACACGCCACCGCTTGCCATAAAGCCGTTGCCAATGTCGAGCACGCGCGGGCCTCGATGGCCCCGCGGTACACGTCGGTGTGGGTCCCATAATAAAATAGCCAGCGCAACTGAAGCACCATAGAGTTCTCAAATAGCAGCCTAAAGTTTATCACGACCTTAATAAACAACCATAATACCAACAACAGCACAAGGAGTCAACCTCGGGAAGGTAAAATAACTAACAACAAGGTACCAACACAATTAGGTTTCTCAAGAAGTCGCATTCAAAGTTGTAATGACAAGTAACTGGTTCCATCCACCCGCAATTTCCTAGATTCAGGAGTTTAACAAGGTGATTTTGCATCAGGTACCCTCCTGTTCTTGCTCTTCCGCCTTCTTGTGAAGCTCCAGTATCATATTGGCAGCTGCCGAGCACTTCGCCTCATGTGGGGTAGGACGAAGACCACCAGTGAGGCTCATCTCAAAATCAGGGCATCTCAAACGTACACTGGCGTGATACATTCCTAAAAAGATAGGAAAAGGACCATTGAAGAAGTGCTCAAAAGTCAACACACACAGATGATAGTCAATCAAACATACATTTTGGTTATTGCTAACTGGGGATCTAATCAGTCTGATCTAAGATAACCAGTTATCGAATGTAAAACAAACCTAACACTTCAACGGAGAATAACATGTGATAAATAAACAAGCGGCTTATTTGGATTGCTACTTTGACATCAAGAGAGTAGCAAGCCCTGACTATTGATCTGACACCTTGAAAACTCTTTTTGTCCAAGCATGGTTAGCGTAGCACACTATGTATATTATCATCTCAATGCACAAAACGAACCAGTACTTATAGGGATTAAATTCGATAAATGAGAAGCAGGAAGTACGTGGCACAGGACCCATTCATATGATATTCCTAATTGTTATGCCTCCATGGTCCAAGGACCTAATACTTGCCTATCTAGAATAGCTAAGAGATAAAAGTAAACATTTGTACATACCATCTGATACTGAAGGTAATACTGTGTATCTTGGGAGTATCCAATGGGCCCCACGACAGATCTCATCAAGCTCCTGCATTGTCAAGTGTCAATGGTACTAGTGGCATTTAAAATTGCAATACATAGGTTCACCTCGAGGTTTCTTACCTTGCATTGTCGGAGGAGTGCCACCTTCAATTTCTTCCTCTTAGTGATAGATTGGCCACCATCTCCAGAGCAAGATGAATTGGTAACTTCTGTCATATCTGAGCAAGTTTCCTTGTATTTTCTTATTATTGATACAGCTTTGGGTGTCATCTTTCCTTCTGCATAATTTTTAAAACATGATAAGTACAAGAAATACAGAACTAATATAGAAGCAACTTCTTGCCAAAACATTTTAAAAAATCCAAGAAAAACATCTTGCCAAAATTGGCCACAGTTTCGACGGATGATTTGTACATCACAAAGTGCGGTGGACGACTTGTCCGCAATGAAAACTGTGATACACCATAGTTTAGCGCAGAACTTTTGAAAACATATGGCTCCCAGAAATACTTGTCTACAGTGTTGACGGCAAAACTGTAGCAGTTCTACAACGTGATTGTAAATGTAACCATGTTTAAAATGTGACATGGGTAGAATACCACTCAAGAGTGTCTGGATGTCCATATCACACTGAGCACTTCGTTCTTGAAGTATGCTTTCCTTGCGAAGCTGAAATGAAGAGAGAATAGGAGAGTTCACATCAGATTCTCAACTAGAAGAAAGTTATAGGAAACAAGCATAATTTTTTCTGAAATAAGAGAAAAGACATATAACATACAATTTCATCCCGTATTTTCTGAATTGATTGCAGAAAATCATCTATCTGGCCATCATCGTTGTACTTACTCGTGGCACCTTCAAAGAAAATTTTGGAACACATAGAGTAAAAACTTGGGAACACCAGTTACCATATATGAAAAATAAGCAGGCTTGGGTAGCTTTATCTGAACCTGACTCTTCAGACATTTCCATATCTTGGCATTCCAAAGCACAGTTCTTCACTAAAGGATCAGCACGCGTCTCCTGATACAAAAAATAGTTCTTCAAGTTAAAGCAGAGTGAATGGATCACATGAAAACCTTGGCCTAAACACCACCTACGCATCTGAAACTGATTTATGGAAAGGATGAATATTTCTTTTGATTGATTGAGCACATATGGTGTGTCTCCTCTCTTAATACGAACATCATCAGCCAATAAGATTTCAAAAGATAGCATGGGGAGGGGATCGTTGGGCCAGAGCAATTTCCGGCTATACAAGAATAGCCTGGAAGATACGAGGAAGACGGTCTGTCGATTACGACGGCAAGCTTCTCCGGGTTGAGTAGTTGCAGGAGCGACAACCCTCGCTCTTCCCGGCGATGGGTATGGCCAAGATCGACACGGGAGGGGGGAGGGGGCAGCGGCTATGGTGAGAAGCTAGAGCTGCTGGCGAAGAGAGGGAGATGCGGCGAGGAAGGAGGAAGGAGTCGGAGAGGCGGCGCGGGCTAGAAAGAGGGAGCGCACGAAGGGGGTTTCTGCGGAAAAACCTGACCTGCGGCTTGACGGTGAGGAGGGGCGCACCGATTTATCTTGATAGTGGCGGCGTGTGAGAGGAGGGGATGGTGGCCGGCGATGCAAGGCTCGGTGGCAGAGGTGCACGCTGAACCAGCCCCCGTCACCGTGTTCCCGTCCTTCGGACGGGCACGCGGCGGATCTGTCGATCCCCCCACGGTCGTCGCCTCGCAGACTCGTTCTTCTCCTCCTGACGCTCACCAGATCTGCCAACGCTGAGATTGGCTGTGCTGGGTGCGGAAAGAGACGAGGTTGCGTGTGTGAGGAGAAGACAAGGGGCTGGCCAATTGGGAAGGACAAAACACGTGCTCTCTCTCTCTCTCTCTCTCACACACACACACACACACACACACACAAAGACACACACACACACAAAGACACATGTTCATTACACACACAATGCACCTCTCTCGCCATTCGCTGCACCACACAATGCACCTCTGCCAACGTGGACATAGTGAAAGGGTGCCCTTGCATTCGCCAATATTGTGTTTGATACTAGTATAGCTAGCTGACTCAAACATGCCTAATAAATTGACCGAACAGAACTTCCTCCTTGGTTTGCAAAACTTGCCTTCTATATCTTGACATTTTTTTTCTAGTCCTAGTGTTTATCAATTTGATTGGTCGTACGACTTCTCTGGTGGGCCCTATCCAATCTCCTGCGGAGACATGGTTTTCTTCTTCTTCTTCTTCTTTTTTGTGAGGGAGAGACATGCTTGTCCACTTGAAAACTTGTCACTGATGAGCCAGGACATTAGCATCCCAACTATAACATGAGTAACCGAAAATGACTTATATTTCATACTGAAATCTCTAAAACAAATTATACGGACTATATGTATTTCAATACGTACTTCGGAGGGAGTATATAAGAAAAAGGGAATACAATTCAAATTGGTCAAAAAAGAAATCGGAATTGCTGGACGACAAGAATATGGACTCGGGCTCAAGCCGTCAGTTGTTGACACGGAGAAGGCAGGCCGACTAATGCAGGCACTCGGACACTCCATCGCTACGCTATAAGAAGAGATGCACCAAACGGACCAGGGCATCAATCAATCCATCGAGGCAACACGAACACCAATCCATCAGAAACAGTCCAGCGGAACACGGGGTCGTCGAACACCATCGCCAACGAGGGCAAGTCGACATGGCGAGCGGCAGGAGGGATCTCGCCGCGGCGACGATCACGCTAGCCGTGCTGCTCGTGCTCTTCTTGCCTATCACCGCCGCCGCCACGGTCCCCAGCATCGATGCCACGCGGACGCGCCACCTGCCGCTGCGACACGGACTGCTGCGCGGCCCTGAGAGCGTCACCTTCGACGCCAAAGGGAACGGCCCGTACAGCGGCGTGTCAGACGGCCGCGTCCTGAAGTGGAACGGCCACAAGCTCGGCTGGTCGACGTACACCTATAACCCCGACTACAGCAGCGAGGCGTGCACGGCGTCTCTCCTTCGCCCGGAGACTGCCACCGAGGGCCACTGCGGCCGGCCGCTCGGTCTGCGGTTCCACCTCAAGTCCGGGTACCTCTACGTGGCCGACGCCTACAAGGGACTCATGCGGGTTGCGCCGGGCGGCGGGGAGGCGACTGTGCTTGTCACGGAGGTTGATGGCGTGCCTCTCCGCTTCACCAACGGGGTGGACATCGACCAGGTAACCGGCGAGGTCTACTTCACGGACAGCTCCAGGAACTACAATAGGTCACAACATGAGATGGTCACAAGAACCGGAGACTCGACGGGTCGGCTACTAAGGTATGACCCACGGACAGGAAAGGCCGTTGTGCTCCAAGCTGACATCACTTACCCCAACGGCCTCGCCATCAGTGCTGATCGAACACATTTAATCATCTCATCGACTGGGCCGTGTAAGCTGCTACGATACTGGATTAAGGGCTCCAAGGCGGGCACGATGGAGCTATTTGCCGACCTCCCGGGATATCCAGACAATGTGAGGCCTGATAAGAAAGGAGGATACTGGGTGGCGCTACACCGTGAGAAGGATGAGCTCCCCTTTGGCGTCGATAGCCACCTGCTTGCCCTGAGGATCGATGTTGACGGAAAAATAATCGAGAAGATGAGAGGACCCAAGAGCGTGAGGCCGACCGAGGTGGTGGAGAGGAAAGGTGGCAGATTGTTCATGGGATCCGTTGAGCTTACTTATGTGTCAGTCGTCACGCGCAAATAGATATAGATCAATTCAATTAAGGAGATGTAAATTAAGGCTTTTCGTAGGACTTGCTCTTTTTTTTACTATTATTATTATGTTATTGTTTTGTCATGTTTTAGTTGTAAAGTCTTTGTTAAGTGGAGCTTTCTATTGGGCAATGATCATGTATTTTTCACTATAATGTATCAAACTATCTTTTATTAAGCATTATATGAAAATACAGTTGTGAGTTGCAAAGAGCCAAAGACACAAAAGGCACTAGCATTGTTGTGAAATAAATTGTTCGCAAAAACTAAGGCGGTCCAGAGTACTAGTAACTACTCACAATAACAAAAGCAATCCAATCTTACAGAAGGAAAAACAATCTATTAAGAGAAATCAACTGCGGCGAACTGAAAATCAGATAAGTGGCTGCCAGCAAAAATCTACAAATTAAAATGCATCAACATATTCTTTCACGATTTCATCGAGAACAAGAAAAGTCAGTCGGTTCACAGAGAACGCGAGGCACAAGAACAACACAGTTCTTCCATCCATTGCACTACAAAGAATCGTCACATCATCGCACCAAATGTCCATTGAATAATCCAATCTTTACCCTGATGCACATACAAAAAAACGCCATATACAAAATGCACAAACGTCTACATGGACCGATCCGACGAACAAGCTACACTTCCTTGCTCCCAATCAATGGCCGTGTCACTTCCCCTCCTACCTGTGCTTGAAGCCGTCACAATCACAGCCAAAGCAAACATGGGCAGAACCAACTTCCGATGCCGTGAAGTTTAGAGCATGCTTGGATCCAAGGGACTATTTTTAGTCTGACTAAAACTAGTCTCTTTTAGAGGCTAAAGTTCCAATCACCCCTGACTAAAGAGAGACTAAAACTAGTCTTGAGACTAAAAAAATTTAGTCAGGGAAACCCTACTAAAACGTGGATTAGTCCCCTCTCTTCTCATTTAACTCCTCTCCTTTAATACATGCGAGTTCTGGATTGGAGGGTTTGAAGGATAATAAATGCTCATTAACTCGATTTTAGTCTATTTAGTATTTGTATCCAAGCATGGGTGAGGCTAGCAAGTTTTAGTCCCACTACTTTTAGTCATGAGACTAAAACGTATCCAAGCACCCTCTTATGCATGTTGGTACTTGTCAATTGGCTCATGATTTTTCTCGATGCCTGTGACGAACAACAAATACAACTGCGTGCTCATCATTTCAGAAAATACACATGCAGAAGTTTATTGTATTGTTTTTGTTGGAGTGAATTGCAGAAAACATCGACATTGAAGGCTAGGGTTGCAGAAATCATAATTCTACGGTTTTGTGCCAAAAACAACTAATTCCTAGCCTTTTTTTTTTGCAAAAAACACTAGTCGCCCGCTTAGGCCATTTTGGCCATGATTATGGCAGGCAGGTCCCACTGAACAGTGTGACGTGGCATAACATAACAGATCATAAATAGACAGAAAGGGATAGACTAAACTGTAAAAGGCCAAAGAGGATAAGGTGGTGCTGTTAAAAAAAAGAGAGGATAAGGTGTGAGTCGTCCTTCCTCTCCCCAGCGCCCAGCCGTGCGCACGAGTTCTCGGCCGGCGAGTTCGCAATGGACGACGGCTCCAGGACGCTCCTCCCCCTCCTCTCTCCCACGCCTCCAGCTTCCTCCCGCTCCCTGGACCCGACCTCTTGCGCCCCGGCCTCGGCCTCCCCTTGCTGCTCACCTACATCGGCGCCGGCGAGGTGAAGAGGAGGCGCGACGGCGGCCCGCGTAGGCGTGGTGAGGGAGGGCGCCTCGCCGCGGCCGCAGCTGCGCGTCGACGAGCCAAATCCACAAACTGTGGGCATGGAGGTGCGGTCCATATGCTTGATGATGAGCTCCGCTGCCGCGGGTGCCCTCCATATCTCTCCAGTCTATCCCTCCGACGAGCCAAATCTTTCTGATGTGTGCCGCCGCCAGCAGGAACCACGCCGTCAAGCTCATCCAGGGCCGCCCGATGCTCAAGCCGCCGCCGCCGGAGCTCCATTGCTCCGCCGTTCTAACCGACAACGCCGCCGTATCCACGCCATTCTGCAGCCCGTCCTCGACCACGCCGGAGCTCCCCTATGCCCCGCCGCCAGAGCAAGCAGCAGCTGCGGCGACACGCACGGGGAGGGAGTGCCCGCCGGCGTCCACCATCGGATCGGGGGAAGATGAAGTGACCAAGGACCCGATTGCTTATTATTCAGGGGCCCTTTT